ACACACACTTGAGGTGGAGGTGCTTTTAAGCCAGTCTTTTACTTTTTAATATCTCAAATATGCAACCATACATTGAGTAACATTAAAGGTCTTAAACTGGTGAGAAACAGGAAAGTCAATGCAGAGACTTAGAATGCTTCTGGTTGGGTGGGCTTTTCTTCCCCTTGGTTTTGTCCCCTGATCCCCACCCCTATTGCTGCTGCTGCTGCTGCTGCTGCTGCTTCTGTTATTGTTGGGCTTCACACTGAAATTGTAGTGATCATTTCTCAGTGAGGGAGTTTCTATCTGGCAGCATTTTGATCATGAGGTTTATGATATCTTGCCCTTGGAGACAAGTGAGAGATCTCGTTTATTTCTTTTTCCCTAAAGGAAAAGCAATCTTTACAACTAAAACAACCTGCAAATTTCCTCAACATTCTTTTTTGGTCAACTGAAGTGAGATCCTTAATGTTGCTTCAATGTAAAATTGTATATTTTTGTCTGTGATACACTTTAGTAATTTAAAGTAAATAATAGTTCTATAAGCTTTCACATTTGGTATAAAGAGAAAGTAGGACTTTAAAAGTGATGATAAAGATGCTATAATGTCAATTCATTCCAGTCCAATTCAATGTGGTAAGAAAAAGATCTTGAAGTTCTCTAGGGACAATTTTTCACTTGCCATTGACATTAATCTTTGATGTATTCTCAGGAAAAAAATGAGAAGAAATTGAAACCAGTCCAAGGTTAGAGTCATAGCTTCTATAACTTTTTTAAATGTTTTATTAGGAAATTAATAATAGCATTTTTCATTTGGATTGAAAGAAAATGATTAAAGAATTAGTTGAGTGTGAAATTAAATAGTATTTTGCTCATGCACACTAAAAAGGTGGGTTAGGAACTTGATAAATTTATACAAGTTTCTGAAAGGTTTCAATTTGGTGCAAGAAAAAAAGTTCAATGTTTCCTTTGAAAATATTGAATTTATCAATTGCTGCATGGATCAGATGGCATAGGTTAATTTTTTATTTTGAGAATCTTAATGAAATAACTTTAAAATGATTTGTATACATGATTAAAGCTGGAATGACATCTAATTTTTTTCCTAATCTCTCAGTTTAAGCTAATAAATGTAGGTTAATGTGGAATGAAGTCATCTGTGATATATTATCTTCATTTATCAACTGAGCTTTTTTGATGTTGCTTGTTTTTATGTAAAACATGTTCTTAAAGTTAATAAAATAATAGTACTTGGTGTATGAACTACTACGTAATACCTTAGCTGCAGTGTCCACTCTTAGTTCACTTTGTCATGATGGAATAAAATTTCACTTTAGTTCACTTCATAACTGACACATTCAGTCCACAAAGGAATAACCCAGCTGTGTTCTTGGGGAGAATTCTCTCTATGCAAGGCTTTAAAAAATTAGTCATGCGGTCAGAATGTAGTTTTCCCACATGTCCTCCATAGCAGAGTATATATTTCATAAGCATAATTCAAAAACAGTTATTCCAAAAATGTCCCTTTTCATATATTACCTTCCTGCCTGGGCCAGTGACTTGGTTAAACACAAAGAAATAAATACAATTCAGCCCTACTTTATCCTTCAACCTATATGTACAAGCTCTCCAGAGAAGAGGGTTGTTATATCTACTAACCTACAGTTAGCTACCATTTTTATAGCAATTTCCCATCAGGCATTCCACATGCAATATTGATCTTAGAGAAAATTGCAAAATGGCATAATGGAATAAAGTTCTTTTCTCTGTGAGTTTTTCAATGTTAGGAGATTGAAAAGTTGGCCAACAAAAGTGACTGCTTGTCTCCTGGTGTCCTGTGAAGGTGCCAGAATGTCTCCAGGAGCTTGTAAAATTAGCAGTCACCTTCCCTGCCATCTACATGCTACCGCCACAGTGACTGTTTTTCCTTTTGCTCCTCTGAGGTGAAATCGAATGGTCCTTTCCAGGCTCTTAGGGCAACTGCTGTGAAACAATAGCTAATGTGATTACTTCCTAAAGGCCATTACCTTGTTTTATGAGTCTGGCAGCTCCGCCAAAAACCTTCCATCAGAAAAATGGGCCCTGATGCAGAAACCAACCCTAGGATTGAAGATGATAAGAAAATTGAGAAATTCCTGCCACGTGAGTAAATTGGGAAAGGAAGGTGTTCCACAACTCCAGATGGCTGTGGTAGTTAGAATGGTGGGATTTGTTATGAGCAAATAAGGAAGCTATGCAAATGGAGGTGAATAGCTAACAAGAAACAATAAAGAAACACCATGGGAAATGTCATATATATCCTTAAACAGAGGAAAAAAAGCTTTGTTCAATCTTACAAGGTAGCCTGTTTCCCGGAGCTCTGGGAGGAGCACCAAGGGAAGAGGAGGAACCCTGCCCAGCCAGCTGGACCAGCCAAATCCATGCTGGCCATCAGCACTGTGACAGATGTCCCTGCCAGCTTGCCTACACATTCAAATCAGTCATTCAAACATTTCTTGAGTAAGTGCCAATGACACACAGGGCACTTCATTTTGGCTTAGAAAAGAAAGGAAAATTCAATTGTCCATTTTTGTTTTTATTATGGATCAGAAGACTTTAAAGACAAGAAAATAGATCTCCAGCTGGAAGGTCTGCATTTATTCTGAGACTCCTGGTCCAGAGTTCAGATACATAGACACCCACCTCCAGGGAGAATGTGTTGACGGGAACATGGACACTCTCACTTAAGGATGTGCGGCTACCATCTGCTTGATCAATGGTGCACACACCCAGGGTACTCTTGGCTTTTCTCCTGGCCTCTGAGGTAAGAGGCACCCCAGAGGACTCTCTGCCATCTATAATTAGCACACAATTTTAAACTCTGTTATAGATGGATACTGAACTATATCCATTTATTCAACAAGCATTATCAAGTACCTCCTGTATGTTATGTGCAGTGGAGGCTAAGATGAACAAGACTCAATTCCTATTCTTAAGAATCTGAGATTTAGTGAGAAATCTTCCACTCTGGATGGTCATGGGTTGGGTGCCTGATTTAACACTCACAGATGGCTTGACAGAGTTTGTCCGGGGTATGGCCTTCCTACCAGCCAACACTAGCCCTCTCAGCATATATAGACAGAGTGGGTTGGCCACAAGCCAATTATCAGTCACATGCAAACACATTTGTGGCATTTTTGTCACAACAATTCATATGTCACCCATAGAAAAACCCTAGAAG